GTGAGATTAGTAAGTAGAAAGAAAAGTGTCAGTGAAACAGTAATTAACTGGTGTCGTTAATATGGGCTGTTCCCAGTTCTTGACCTGGTTACCATGGTGATGTCGTGAATCAGTGAGTTCGTTCTTTGGCCGCGGTCGTTGAAGGAGTGTAGAAAAGGGATGAATGACTGTTTTCCTTTCATCTGCCGACATGGAATTCATTAGCTGGCGGATTTCTCCCTCCTGAACTGAAAATTTCTGCACTATTTATATGTTTACGACGGCTGTCGAGGACGTGGCGTGCGGACGTAGATGTAAGCTAAAATTCGTACCTACTTTAGATAAATGCTCGCGGTGAGGAAAATAAGTGGATGAAAAAAACGTATTTTACGACCAATCGCTTTTTAGGTCCACTACAAATCTTTGGTCTGAGAAAACGGTTCTATACGGATGATAGACATCAATGGGGGTCATCATAAACTCATGATAAAGCTAGCGACATATATAAAAATATTTTTTATAAAATAATATGCAAAAATATTTTTTTTAGAAAATTAAGATAATACTATATTTGTAATCATTTATTTTAAACCATATTAGATAGTATTCGCCATTATGAATAAATGGTGGGGTTCAAAATTAAGAATCAGCGAGAATGATGAAAATCTTTTTTATGAGATAGAACTTATTTACTCAAATTGTTGTTCAATATTTGTGCTTTCTATTATAAATGAATGACTGAAAGTATTGATTAGTTAAAAGTAAGACCAGCTGTGTGTAGATTAGGCTTGTCATGCTGGGAAATTTGTCCCGGCTTTCCCGCATCAAAGGGTCGAGGTTAAAAAATTGCGACAAAACGCGAGTAAAGACAACAAGATTAGAACAGACAAACTCTCTCTTTTAGGCGCGGACGAATAAAGAAAAAACTCCTGCTCGGTGTGTAACAATAAAAGAAGAAAGTGTTTATTTACATATACAGAAAAAAAAGGGTAAAAGGATAAAGACAATTAAGACTCAAAGAGTGAAAGAAAGGGAAAAGAGAAAATGTCCTTTAAGGGAAGAGAAAATGTTCATAACAGAAAAAAGGCTTACTCAAAATATTTCTCTGAGCGCCTAAAAAGTTCTTTAAGCGAGTAGAATTTTGTTAAGGTTTAGAAACACTCACAGTTCTTGTAGAGTAGGAAAATCGTTGGTAGATATAGGAATCTTGCAGTTGAATGAGTTCGTAGGTCGACGACAGAAGTCCAGTGGACACGACAGAAGGAGTGGTGAAGGGATGCAGCTTTCAATTTTTTTTTTAATAATGGGCTGACGGTCTGTCTTTCCAGCCAAACAGGAATTTCTTCTTTGGTTGAAAGTGGTTCTGAAGTTGACTGGAGCTCCCTATCGTCGACCTTACAGATGGTAGTCCGAATTCTCACTGTGAAATAGGCATAGATTCTGCAAATTTATGGAGATTTGGTAGGCGCCGATGCATCGGGGACTTTTCCCTCCAAAATCGTTATACAAATTTCCTGGCGCCTCCATTGGTCAAAAAACAAATTCTTATCTCTGATAAGAATCATGGCTTTGGGAGCCGGTTTTGAAACTAATGAAAACTGTTTGGAGTGAACTAGCTGTGAGGTTTCCCCCAGACTTTATGGCACCATGGAAAGAATAATGGTGGTGGAATTCTTTTTTATATTTCCCAGCTTTCTCGTTAGTTAGAAAATATATTCTGATCTCTGATAAAAATCAAGGCTTTGGGAATCAGTTTTGAAAGTAAAAAGCGGTTAAAGTAAAGATAGAAAAAATAGCGAGAATGTGAACTTGTAAAATATTGTTCTCAAATTAAATTCCAACAGCCAACTTCTTAAAATTAACGAAGAAACCGCAAACCCAGTGGACAGGTTTTCAACCAGGGAACCACAAAACTGAATCAAATCAGTTTGGTATTTTTGAGAGGTCGGAATTCATTTGTAACATATCATTATTGAAGAATTTTATACAACCAGTGCAAAATAATAGTTCAATTAAAATTTAAAAGTGGAACAACTGTATTTTAAGAAATTAAAATACAGTTGTTCTACTTTCAAATTACAATTTTAACAGTGAAAATAATGTCTTTCTTTGGTCATTGAGTTTCAGTATAAATGTGTGTGTGTGTGAGAGAGAGAGAGAGAGAGAGGGGGCAGACAAATAAGATTTCGCACATATATCAGCCGTTCATGTTTATTAAGTATCAAAAAAAAAAGAAAAAAAAAAGAAGAATAGCAAAATTTACGCATAATTTTAAAAAATAGTCACTCTTTTTCAAAATGCAGAACAAAAACGTGTTTTTCAGCATCAAAATATGAAACAAACCTGCATTTTGCGGGTAGATTGGTTACCCTAATACAGGTTTCGTATGCTTCATCTTTGAAAAATATTTTCGCGCTTAAATTATGTTGTGGCAAATATTTAAAATTAGTTATCGTACAAATTCCCCTTCTGTTGTGTTGCTTTTCGGTTTCTTATCGAAGACGTTCTTTCATTTGTATTCTCATATCTTCTCTTTTTGTGTTAGATTCTTCCTCTGTTTTATTTTGAATCCTTTCAGCTACACGTTCTCTCATAGCAGTTTTTTTTTTGCATTAGCTTCTTCGGTTTCGTTTTGTTTTCTTTGCGCTGCTCTCTCTCTCTCTCTCTCTCTCTCTCTCTCTCTCTACTCTGCATTTATAAAGCAAGTTTGTGTTGAATCTTGGATAACAATGCAAAACTAAAATGAGAATAATACAATAGTAATACTAAATTTATCCCTTAATAGTTATTCAATTTATATATTTAGAGAATATAATATGTTGAATTTAGGATACCATAATTTACATAGATAAAATATATAGAGACTGAAGCATTTTTTGCGGCAACGTTAATAAAAACTCCGTTATATATTTGTTTGAAAGTAATTGTTACTTGTAAATAAATGCTTATTACTATCGCTTGTATTTCACTCGATTTTATTAGGCCGTCAAATGGAACAGGAAATATATAAATAAATATACATTGATAATTATTATGTTTTGATGATTGATGACAAGATTCTCTATAGTATCTAACATTATCAAAAATATTGCTATCTCCTTTTATGAAGAAAATATAAAGTTATCTCCCTTTATCAAATGGGACAGGAAATATATAAATAAATACACATAAATAATTACTATATGGTTTGATGAGTGTATCCCTGCCGAAAAAAAAATGACGGCAGTTGTTCGAAAGTTTTTAATAGTGAGTTACAATAAAACAAAAGTCTTGAAACAATGTCTTTGGATTCAATAAAGCAGAGATGAAGAAGTCACAACTAACCATTTAATTAATCCATTCTTTATTTTTAGACGTTTAATGGGGAGAAGAAAGGTATGAATCCATATCTTCTCCCCAGCTATGAATTGAATAGCAGAACATACTGAGTTCTTTAGCTTTGGTTGACAACTACCGCAGAAATAAATGGCAACCTACTGCGAGAAAAAAAATCTGCCTCGTCAGTCATGTATCGAAAGATACATGATCGCTCAAGCGTGTATCACGTATGGCACTTAATTGACTGACAGAATGGTATCTATGATTCAGTGATTACTCCCAGTATTATATAAATCACTTTGCTTAATATGTTTTCATGTTAAAAAGTTTGTATGTTTAATATAGCACTGAAATGGAAATATCTCTTGGAAGAAAAAGATTAGCAACAGAAGGACAATGACGGCTATGACAAAAAGCCTATTTCATGACCAAGTTGAAGGAAAACGATCGCTCAACAGACAAAGTTATCTGAGTGCCTCATATGAAAGGCTTGAACAAATAAGTCTGCAATCTAAGAAACGTAAGAGTAAAGGAAATTATTAATTAGATGGCTCATTTTGCTGGGGAAATATTTTTGTCTAAAAATGCAGATTTGTAGAATATTAAAAGAACTAAGGGGAGTAATCACTCATAAATTTACTAACTTATTTTGATTTACCTCCGATCATACTACAGACGGGACAGAAAATATAAATACACATTGATAATTATACGATTTGAAGATTTACGAACGTTCTAAAAAAAAACAAAAAAAAAAAACAAGCAAACAAGAAACGCATTTTAAATAATTTAAACGCCTTCATTAGACTTAAATTTCTGTTTCATTTGAGAGATAGTCTGAGTTATTAAAAGAAAAATTAATTTCCGTATATAAAGTTTTTAAACATTTTTAAAACATTAGCACATTTTCTCGTGACTTATCGAACCAAAAAAAATGTAAATAAATGTCAAAATCTCTTAAAAATCCAATATTTATCTTAGAGATATGTTTCCAAGTCTATAATTAACTTTTTAAAGTTTAAAGTTTATTTAACAAGAGCAATATATTTACTTTTTACTTACGTAACTTAATGGAAATAACGTTTATTTACGCACAGTTTTTACTTTTTATTTTATGATTTAAAAAAAAAGACTCCCCCCCCCAAAAAAAATGAATTACTAATATTTTTGCTGAGATGAATCTTGATTTTCTACATTACGGAACTTGAGTACATAAATGATTTACTAAGTGTAGATGTAACAAGAGGCCACAAGTATGTGACGATCGACCTTATTACTCAGTTGTAAATGATCTTGCTAGACATGCTTGCTAATCATTACCCAACTTTTATAGTGGTGTAAGAAGAGTCATCATATGATACAAAACCACAACATCGCTTACTGTATTAACAAATAATTCAACACAGTTTGAAAATATTTTAAAAAATTTAAAAGAGAATAAATATACAAAGCAAATATTCGCTATCAATACTAATCACATGCATTCTATCTGAAACTGAAAACATTGGTAGAAAACAACGTTAATTTTGTGTGAAAAGTGAGATTATTATTGTCTGTTAGCATCATAAGCGGCCCTGCTTTTTTAACATGTTGTTCAACATGGATGTCATGTTCGGGCAGACGCCACCTCCAAAATATTAAAAGCCGGAAAACTTCTGAGTTCCTTCTAGTCCTTTGATTTTTCTGCAATTATTAAGTCAGTCATGGGTGAAAGACCCCATTCTCCGCTATCTGTGTCTTGTGTCCGCGCACTTAATGATAAATTATACGAAAAAAGGAAAGTAGCAGCTCAAGAAATAGACAAGTAAGTGAAGTCCGATTCATCATCCTTTCGCAATATAAGCGTTATTTATACAAATAAATCAGCGAGTTTTTGTTTTTACCTTGTTTTATATTACAAGAAGGCCATTGATTGTTGAATCTTTTCTTTCCATTCTTTTTAAAATACTTCTTTGTTTTTAAATTTTTATTTTGATGAAAACTAAAGATGCCTGATTTTTAAAGGAAAATTTATTTTAAAGTATCAATGAAAAATTCTTTTATTTTCACGTAAGTTTTAAAAAAGTAAACAATACTCCTTTCAGTTCTTTCGTCTGTAAGTAATTTTCGTAAAATGGTAAAACAAACAAGAAATTTGACAACAACAATCTTACGGTTTCGAGACAACCTTTAAATAAAAGCTTGTACGATTTCATAATAAAAAAGAAATCATTTCAATTCAATTCATTTACTTTTTTAAAATATTGTTGGCCAAAATTCAACATGGTTTTTAAAAAGAATAAAACATGTACCTAAGAAAATTGTGAATAAATAAAAATAAAGCACTGAGACACTTTTAGTTTTAAAAATACAATTTGATTTGATAAATAATAGTAACTTAAAAATACATTAAAAAAATTTAATGTTATTGTTAAGAAAGATGTCAAAGAATTTATTTTCGAGGGCGATCAATAGTTTCTTCAATGTTATTATGAAGACTGAAGCGTAAACAAAAATATTTTTGTTATTTTATTTTTTTAATTTTATCAGTCTTAGCCTGTTTTAATTTCTTAGTTTGTTAGTGTTAATTTTTATTGGGTGGCCTGTTTGTTTTTCTCCTTTCTTCGAAAGATTTCGTTGTAGTCGGCTCAAAATTTGAAGTTTAAAACCTTGATACGCAAAATTAAAATCTTGAGAGAGAGAAAGAAAAAGTCCACAGGTTTTTCTTTTTTTCTCTCTTTTTTTACTACTTGCTTATCAACAGGAGGTATTATGATTCTCTTTTTTTTGTTTCACGAAGTCAAGTAAATAAATAAAAATAAAATAAAACTTAAATCCAGTCTACCCCCACCCTTTTTTGTTTTGGCGACGAGTTTTTTTCAAAAAAAAAAAAAAAGAAATCCGACCCCCCCCAAAAAAAAACTCGTAGACGTTATCAATCATTGTTGATAATTACAATACAGGCCTTTTCAAACAGACCCCAAAAAACTATTAAATTTATTTTTTCTTTCAATACTTACCACCATTTTTTAATTTTGTTTTTTGAACATAGTTTCTTTTCACTTTTCAGTTAAATAAAATGTCCGTTTTAAATTGTTAACTTCAACGAGCTTAATATTTTTTAGATTGGTGCTTTATAGGTCCGAATCATGCATGTTTTATAAAATTTAAAGCTTCTGTTTTAAAATTTAATTGATTTTATATTGCCTTACAAACCCATACTATGCTGGACAGACACACACCTAGTTTTGCTTTGACGAAATCATTTTTCTTGTATCGTTTTTTTTTATTTTCAAATATGCTTGGGTTTTTTAGTGTTTGTCTTTAACATTCCTGGACTTTCTTAAAGCAAAGGTGGAGGAAGTCAACATTTAAAAAACTGAAGGAACCTTTTGAAATAATTAAAGAAAGATTCAGTAGATAATTCGGTTAAAAAAAAGTATTTTTCTTGTATATTTTTAAAATTGAATGAATATGATCTTTATTATTTATTGGGGAAATTCTTTTTAAGTCTTTATTAATGTTGTAAATGCGACTTTGCGTTAATGACAAACTGGATCCTTATGTTTTGTCCATTAATTCATAACTTTTTGTAGCCTAACGTAACAGAAAATTGGGTCAACTTGATAAGATACTCAGAATTGGTTGCGTGTGGTGCTGTAATCACTAGGAGTTACGTCCTCTTTCACAATAGGCTGTTGAGAGAAGACATTCTACTTACAGTAGGTGGTGCTGACTATTTTCATTTGAACGATACTGGCCACGTATTAGCCAATAGTCAGCATGAGTCTAGGACTGGGAGAGCTATATAACACCAGCTTTTTCTCAGTCGAGAAAGAGTGCTCTCAATGTGAGGAAAACCAGACAAGACGAACACAAACCATTTCAGCCATTGACAGATGTTAGCAGACACCAAATTCAACTTAAAATTAATTCCCAAGTTTGACGGATATGCATCTGGTTTTCCAGTGGCTGAATGGATAAAGAAACTGGCATTCGTTTGCAGGCTATGTGGAGTTCTTCGACAGAAAACCATCCCTGTGTGCGGCACTCAACATAGTAGAACCAGACTTTAGTATTGAGTTCAATCAGAAAAAGAAAGCGTGGATGACATCATTGACAAGCCTACAAAACAAGATAAAAGAGTATCCTGTGTCCAAGCATGTATGTAAGGAATATAACCAGAAGTTTCTGGCTCCTACCATATGCTGAAGAGGAGTTCAAACCTCCCAAGGGTCTACTTCCACTAATGGTCATTATCCAAGAGAGCAAGAAAATGGTATGCCCTGTAACGAATTACAGAGAGTTAAATGAATTCGTAGATGTGTTCATGGTAAGTGCAGATGTCTGTCTGGGCAAGTTAAGGGAATGATGACAATAGGGGTGCAATGTATTACTGTTGAACCTTAGGAGAGCATACTTAGAGATCAATGTATATCATCACTGTGGCCTTTCCAGACCATGTTACTGAAAGGGTGGAGGTACTGCCTTACATGATTAGGCTTCCGCATCAATGTGGTGCCTCTTATAATGAAGGTAGTTATCAAGACTACCGTCTGATTAATCTGAATAGAAACAAATATTACTTTTAGATTAAAATATAGCAGAAAAGCATATTTTAACATGGAGGTGGGTGTTGAGAGTTCTATCAACAAACTGATGTTTGGGAATTTTAACTAAGGGGTACATAACTCTAAAAATTACTTGACGAATTTAATGTGAACCCCTTTTTTATATTCTAAGCAATCTAGTATTTTATTGAATTTCAGGTACTTTGGTTTTATAGCTTTACATATGAAGACACCGGTTGAGGAAATGTTAAAAAATTTATCAATAAATTTTAAATTTACTACAGTTACTTCTTTTATTTTCTGATAATGTTGTTATGGATGTCTGTATTTAAAAAAAAATCAGCCTGTTTATACACATAAAATAAATTCAAAATTCTATTTAAAATATTGGAGGAGGGGTTGAATTGTAGAAAGCTTTTCCACTTAGAAAGTACAGTTTTAATTTAATAACAATATCACTTGAATGCTGCAAATTAATACAGAACTTTAGAATGTTTAAATGATTATAAATTGTTCTAATTAAAATTTAAAAAAATGAAAACAGATCTTGTAAAAATACATTATTTTTCAAAAAAATCTTTTCATGGTATATTTTATTCATAAAACCAGTTAAAAGTTTTTCTAATTGTTGTGAGGAAGAATATTACCTTGCAAGTTTGGACTCAGTTGTCAGACAAAAGACATAAAAATACTCCTATATCAAGAGGAGTAGCAGGAGGAGCAGTAGTTTTTGCTGAAAACAGTCATTCACAGCTAAACATCCTCTTCCTTAGTTTCTATCTACATTATGTTTCCCTGTACCAAAAGGTAATAAACTTGTTAAACCAATTCCAGTTTTTACTGTTGTTTTTGATAAATCAGTTACAATGCTAATTAAATATCATTTATTGCATTTTTTATTTTACGCTTCCTGGCAGATTTTCCTGTAACTTTCCTGTTTGACCCCCAAAATTTAATGACTTAAATTTCCAAGGACTTGTTCTTATAACTAATATAAACATTAAGCTCTACAAAAAACAATTTTTTGAAATTTCATAAAATTAAATGGTTGGTTGAAGTGTAACAGATGTAAAAAAAAAAAAATTCAAAATTAGTTTAATTTGTCCTGAATGTTTCATTAAAATCAGCCAATTAGCTTATTTTTGCAAAAATTTTCAAATCAGTGTCTTTTTCACTGCCAAAAAAGCTCAAATTCCCAGTACAAATTTACACCTGAAAAACAAGATTTTAAGCAACATTTCTTCCAAAAAGGGTAAAAAAAACAAATTTATGTAAAAAAAATTCTTTGATTTTTCATCTTAATAACACAAAGGTTTTGATAAGATTTTGGTTTTATTATGTCATGTGCATATTTTTGAACATGTATCCACTTTTTTTAGAGAATTTTTGGGGATGCTGATAAAAATTTTCCTTTTCTGGCATCAATGTAGAACCATAAATTTGTATGGGAAATTTGGGCTTTCATTAGTTAATTGATAATTTTGTAACAAGTGTCTTCATGAGCAAGGCCTAAAGTGCCTAAAGTTCAATAAAATATTACACTGCTTACTGGATAGGTAAAAATTGCATTCATGTTGTATCTTTTAATTTTACAGTTATGTACCCCTTACTTAAATTTCCCAAACATCAGATCTGTCATATTCTTATAAAACATCCATCCCATGTTAAAAAAAGATGCTTTTCTGTAATTTTAAACTAACAGTAAGTAATGTTTCTTTCAATTCAGATTAATCTTCAAATCAGCTTATAGATTTTACTAATAATCAGGAAAAAAACTGATTTCTATCAATTTTGTTTTGAAATGCAGCACAGTATTTTAAAAATAAATTTTTTTACTTGGAATTAAAACTAAAATAAAAGCTTCAAGAAAGATTTTTCATTTTTAATATGAATTTTAAACCAAAGGCATTGCACTTTTTTCTATGTAACTACTGAAATGAAACCAAAAAAAACAAACTATACTCTATTTTTAATAATTTCTCAAAAATCATGGAATTATCAGATTTAAATTAAATTTTCAGCATTTAGTAAGGGAATTCTTTACTGAACAGGTTATTAAAAAACTGTGAAAAATATTTTAAAAAATCTTTTTCTTTTTACAACTGGTAGATTTTTTTTCTATAGAAGATCAAATAGGAAATATGTCAACAATTCCGAATTACCTCCTTTTATTATTTGTTTCTATTAAGATAAAAATATTAATTCGACTAAATTTTATAAGAGCCTATAGAATAAAATAAAAAGATATCTTATT